CCCTTTTCACGAATTTGACACACCGAATTAGACCACTTACCGGATTTGTAATAACATAAGCAACACGACGGGTGCCACATGTGGAGCAGGATCTGCTTACCCTTCCGGAGCACCTGAGATCACCCCCAGTTTTTGGTGGGGTTCGTGTTGCTTAGTCTTTAGTTTTCTATGTTGTGTCATCTGTACTATTATTTGTCTGTTGGTCTTTTTTTTTTGCCATGGCGTTGTCAGTTTGTTTTCGATCTATGAGTTTGACTGTCCATCTGGTATCTTTCGTCCCTCTTTGTTTGCTACTAAGGTGGGGGAAATTGATAATTTCAAAATTAAAATCGTCTCGTTTGTCATCGATTCTGGTACTGAGATGACCGCTTATGTCAAATTCGAGGTATAAGTCTAAATATGAGGCTGAGGAAGCCGTGTCTGTTGTTTCTTTAATGTTTAGTTTTGGAGGATATATTAATAGAACCCAATCAGAAAAGTTTGGATTGTTAATGGAAAGAACAGTCATCATCAATAATATATCTGAATGTGAAAATAAATGATCTGGCTTCTTTGATCTTCTTGTTCTTGACAAGTGTCTGAAAGAACTCCGACTCATATGAAAATAAGAAGAGGTCGGCAAGGAGTGGCACACAGTACGTTCCCATAGGAATGCCGACAATTTGTTGAAAAAGTCTACCTCCAAATTCAAAACATATGTTGTCAATAAGAAACTCTAGCATGCTGATCACTTGCTCCTCTGTGTAGCATGTTTTTACTTTTTGTTCACTATTAACAAAATATGCCGTATGGTATCCCAAAGTAATAAATATATAGCGTATGCCACCATTTTTATATTGAAAAGCATTGTGGATTATGTTTTTTAGACGATTTTTCAATTTCACATAGGGAATGGTGGTATACAGGGTTGAAAAATCAAAAGTTTTGATAGAATTAATTTCAGAGAAAGCGTCCCTGATGAAGGAAAATCCAGAAAAGCGGTTAGAACGCACTAAATTTATAAAGTGTTATTTCAGGGACGTAAACAATATAATGAACAAGTATAGCAAAAATACAATTATACCTCTCAATGAATAATCACTCACGATAAATAATAATAATTTTCTATAATGTTGAAGTTTATTATATTTGATTTGCAAATAAGGAATAAATACTAGCATTATTGACCAAATGAAGTAAAACTATTAACCCGAAAGTTCTATTAGATCACAACTATTTTACATCATAAGTCAAACGATAATTTATGTGGATGGACAAATTATGCTATTATAAGCATTTTGTGAGGTACATTATAAAAACTAAGGTTTATAGACTACGAATTACAACAGCAAAGTAACTAATTGTCGAATTACACGCCATTGTTTACTAGTGAACGCTGTGATCTTGTAAATTGTTGTACCTTCTGTCAGCCATGAGTAAAGATTAGTGTTTAATGATAGTTGTAGATTATAATGTCATAAATATTACATCGGAGAAGCGTAAAAATACATTTCAGACACGGGGCAATATAGTCTAAGAGCTTGAAATACTGCCTATTGTAAAGACCGTTCATTAATGATATGATCAAATCATCAGCCGTAATACGGATAAATCGGCTTGTGCAATACTGATGAATTTAAAATAGATATTAAAAAAAATAAATAAATAAACATGTTCAGTAAAAGAACAAAACAGAATTCACTGTTACATTAACCAAGCCTTTTGTTTATAATAATCATGATGTCCGCTAAAGGCAAAATTTTGGCGGCAATATATTATAAATTATCGGACAATGTATTTGAAAAATACATGGCAAGGAAAAATATGATAAGGCTATCAATTTGATGATGATAATAATAATAACATAATGATTGCGGGAATCAATATCATTTTGTATTCCTTTGCTAATTTGTATTGTAATGGGTATACGCCAAGGATGTCCCTTTTCCCCCCTGATAGAAATGTTTCATGTCATATCAAAAAAGCTTCGGTGTCATAACATCGTTTGTTTTCGCCAAAATGCACATTTATTATAGCAGTGTCCAAAATTTGAAATTAAATTATAACTGTATTTTTTTCTTTCTTTATCTTGTGTATACAAATAAACAAATGTACTAAAACTATTTTTACTTTTTTGCTAAAAGCAAAGGACATCTTAATTAATAATATATCTTCTTCATTTATTCCGGTTAAAATAAATGTCATATTAATTTTCTCCTTAAACAGTACCTTGCTTTTTGTGTAAATTATTCTGTTTCCATGGAGGTATTTGAAAACTGACAAAGGATGGTTAATTAATTTAAGTACCTTACATATTTTATATTTTCTGCTCTTTGTAGTTCATGTTTAGGATATTTCGTTTCTGTAATATGAATAAAATAATGTGTTTGATAATAGTTTTAAAATTAAACCAAACAACAAAAGCCACCTCCTCCCCAAAAAATTGAATTTATTAGAAGGTAAACAATGCAGTCTTCAATAATATACATACGCCGAATCAATTAAAATGTTCTTTTTGATACTAATATGAATACATCAGCGAAATATTTCTTTGTTTTATTTTGATATTTTAGATAATTGTTTTATTTTGATCTACTTTAAATAATTAACTTTGGTATGCCTAGATATATTCAGAGTGCGAAAGTTAATCGGTGCACATACATTTATATATACTTATTTGCTTAATGTTTTATAGGAGCTCGTATAATGAATTATGTTACAGCGAGTTACAAACACCACTGGAAGTTATCTCAAGAAAAAGTAACAAAACTGGATTGTGTATTCTTCTACTCCTACCACCTTCAACACATTGACATTGGTACCACTTGTTACTACAAATGGCTAGTGGTAATTACATGTATTTATAAGAAAAAGTGTATTTTATATAAAATTTACAATATTATATTTTTTATTTTATATTTTATTTTAAGATTCAGTAACGGATCCAACAAAAAAAGGGGGCGTTGAGGGCGCACGCATTTTCATACTTTTATCTCTTTTGTTGTTTCCACAGTAAGGTACGGGTCCCAAACTTAACATGCCCACTGAACAACTTTGTCAATATGTTCGTTAGGTGTACTTGTTTGTAATTGGGTTTATATTTCGGTTGATGGTCAAGACATTACACTTGTCTGGATAAAAACCCATTTTCCGTGTGTTTTCCAAATTCCTAATTCGTCAAAATTATTTTGAGGGTTTTTCAGTAACTTTAAGATTTAATAACCAAATATGTCATTGCACTATCTACTTTTATGTAGAATGAAAACAGACTTGGCCCAAGAACAAAACCTCGTGACAATGCAGGTTTTACAGGTACATATCAATGATTACTGCTACTCAGCAACATACTCTTACAGGCAAATATAAATAAAACAGAATAATGTGGTGTTGAATATAAAGAATCATTATACACACAGAATAATGGGAATAAAGAAAAAAGGCCTAAAATAATAAAGACAAGGGCCTTGAATAGTAAAGAAATGTAGATCTACCAATTCTGACTATCATAAGAGTTTCTTTTGCCTCCAATTGATTGATTGGTGTTCTACTAGGCATCGTGAAATAAAACTCGTCAGAAAATTCATCAGATCCGGAAATAAATAAATAAATAATCTTTATTAAAAGGGGATAATCCCATTAGTTAAAACTAATCTTCCTGAGAGTCCTAAAAATATTAATAACATATTTATAAAGTATATACAATATTATAATGATTATATACTAGTACACAATATACATTTTTATATAGATATTAATGAAAACGCATATTTGTGTTTTATAGTGTAAAATTGAGAATGGAAATGGAGATATGTCAAAGAGACAACAACCCGACCAAAGAGCAGACAACAACCCGACCAAAGAGCAGAACACAACCGAAGGCCACCAATGGGTCTTCAATGCAGCGAGAAATTCCCGCACCCGGAGGTAGTCCTCAGCCGGCCCCTAAATAAAATTGTGTAGTGTATATGTTTATCCATCTGTTAATCCGTTCATCAGCCCGTTCGTCCCGTATCAGGTTGAATGAATTAATGAATATTTTATTGCAGAAGCAAACATAATGATATAGCAAAATAACATAATATATATATATATATAATGACAATAATGACAGTAAACAGAAAACAACATAATAAAGTAATAACAAGATCAGATATGCAACTGTTTTGCAATTATAATGTATAAATCTAACTTCCATGCCGCATTTAGAAATTTACACAATTAGGTTAAAAGTTTATTTTAAATGTAGTTTACCGTGACATTTTGGTCACATCAACTTGAAACTTAGTACACATGTTCATTATATGATATGATCTTTTTTTCTAAATATGCCAAAAATAGTGTTTTGACCTATATTTCCCGGTTCAATGAGCAGGTTAAAGTTTTGGTTTAAGGTTGTTTACGTCAGATCAACTTGAAATAGATGTTTAATATAATGTTAGCTTTTTAAAAATAAATGCCACATTAGAGTTTGGACCCAGATGTCGAAGCTCACTGGACATGAATATGTGATAATTTGAGCGATACAGGACAACTGTTCTTCTTTATCTTGTTTCGTCTTAAAACGTATTTTTTCGTTAGCAATAACATTTTCCTTTGTCCTAGTCATGAAACATTTTTTTGTTGGCTAGCAAATGCATTGTACGTATTTTATACTGCAAGTGCCATGACTCTTCGGTCATTTATTTCTTTGTGTTTTCTCGTACATTACTCATACAACCGCTATAACAATAATAATAATAATAATAATAATATAACACTCAAAGTAAGAAAGTAAATGTAAGTTTTCTATATTTCAAATGAATAAAATAACTATTTTGAGAAATGCTGAATAATCTGTTACTATAAATATACAAAAAATAACTTCAAATATAACAAGATAAATTATTTTCTCGTATTTGCCACGTTATTGGTCAAATTTATGATGGGAACAAACATTAATGCATCCATGCGTTCATTTAACATTGTGGACTATCAATGACTTTTATTACACGTGTTCTGGTATAAAAACGAGTGCACGAGGGCAGTGATCATATTCTAGTGGCAGACTTCATATACCAGTGCTAGTAATACAGGTGATCAACAATCATGAAGAAATTTTCCTTAGGATTAGTTCTTGCTTTGGCTTGCATCGCCTCGGCTGCTGGTTAGTATTTTTGTTTATTGTTTAGTTACAAGCGGTACAAAAGCACCATTGTAAATTTATTTAAAAAATATGATCACTGTACATTTTGCGTTTTTTATTGTTAAACAAAAGATGCCCTATATGTTTTTCGTATTTAATAATTTTTTCTTGTATACTCATTTCTTTATACAACCGTTTGACTAATGAAATAAATAGAAATCCATGACTTGCACAACATGCACAATGATATTATGTTCTAAAACACTGTAATTTTGTATTAGGTTATTGGCTTTCAGTGGTGCATTTAAACTGCATGTATTAAAATCAGTATTTAAAGTAAATTATTTTATGATTTTCGTCAACAATTTAAATCTTTTTAAAATGTTAACTAAAATGTTATACTTGCATTTTATGGTAGGTAACTTTTTTTATTGTCACATTTTTCTGTAAATTATTTTAAATAATGAATACATTTTTTTCCTTCTTTAAAAATAAATATCTGAAAAGTGTACACTCGTCTTGCATAGACTCGTTTAACATCTTTAGATCTTAATATTCTAAGACACAAACTAAAGCAAGAATGTGTAAATTCCAAAAAATAATAGCTTGTTTTGATTTTCTCTGATGTATATTAAAATAATATATTTTTAAACAATATGAATATATTACAAACATTTAGTACTGTTGTATTCTCCATCACAAAACTCATATCGCAATGAGTAATGAAAACATTTATTCACTTATTTTATTCTAATCGAATAGATTCCAACTTTGTATAACCATATAGATGCATGAATTGATCGGAAGCACAACTTTTGCATTTTTTTAGTATATATTAGTTAAGTACATAATCACTGATTATTTTAACAGTCTGGCCTCATATATTATTATAAGGAAGAGTTTTGATTGGTTAATAATTGAATTAAAGATATATCACGACCCAATGCCACTAATTCTTTGTTTTTGAAGACTTTGTGATCCATTTTAGGTTTGGAACTATAGGCACAATTTCTGCCATTAATTGTCAGTGTTTGATGACAAAAGATAATCCAGGAAATAATAATTTAAATATAGCATGATTGTATGGGTATTCGATAAGTGTTGACTAGCCATGGTTGTCAAAACTACGTTATCTACTAGTTATTGACAGCATGCTATCAATCTTTTAAACTGTATGCCTTCAATACAGAAGCCTCTTTTTAAATGGTGTCCCTGTTTATTTTTTGTTTGGATATAATTTTCTTAGTCGGAATTGATAATTAACTTTTTACCATTCACAACGATTAATTGTCAATCAGCTAATTTTGAAATGTTGATGAAAATGACTAATTATAATTTGCTTACTATTTTTAGTGCCGCCACCACCACCACCAAGACCAGTGGCACCTGTCGCTGTCCCTGCAGGTCCACCGCCACCACCTGGAGGTCCTCCTCCACCAGCCGGCGGTCCTCCACCACCAGCCGGCGGTCCACCACCCCCAGGTCCTCCACCACCAGCCGGCGGACCACCACCTGCAGCTCCACCAGCAAGACCTGCACCTCTAGCTCCATACCGCCCACCAATGAGGCCAGTAGCACCAAGACGTCCACCACCACCACCAGCAACACCATCTTTCTGGGATATGGTTTTCGGAAGTGGACCAACAACAGCTGCTCCATTCTATCCAGCACCAAGATACTTCCCAAGTATGAATGATTGTGATTGTTTCCCTGACCAGGATAGCTGTCCAGCAGGTTATAAATATGGAGGTCAATGTAATAATCCGGAGGGTGCAAGATGTTGTGAAGCTTATTGAGGTAAGATAATCTGATGTTTGATATGAAAATAGCAAAATAAATACTATGTGCCCCAAGCGCTTTTCTAGATTTACTATTAAGTGTTTTAACACAAATTGCTTTTTTGTGATTTTCAATTAAGCAAGGTTTACATTTGTCTATAATTGATGGATAAATTTTATAACATAATCATCCTTCATTTATTATTTTACATAGAAAAGAATTATAAATATAATGTAAAGAACGTCCATTTATTTCGGGAGATTAAAAATGAACGCTATACTAACACACACATATTTTTTTCCCTTTGTACAGTCTCGTAAAAACCTCCCAGAAACGCATAACAATTGACACCAAAATAACTGTATTTTTTTCAATTTTTTACAGAACTGGTGTGATGCACGTTTTGTGATGCTGCTGTTGTATTTCATAGTATTATTGTTATTTGATAATATTTATTTGTATAATATTCGGTTTTTAATAAAATTTTACAACAAAATCCGATTATGTAGCACAAAGCGAAACAAACTGGATTTATTTCGTTTTTTTTAATTATCATAGTACCCACTATATAGTATATTGTACAAGAAGACTTCCCCATTTCCATTCTCAATTTTATTAATCTTTCATGAAAGGAGTGTTGTTCCGATATTTACATTTTCATAAGCTACAGTATTTAACAATTTGTGGTACATTTGAATGCCTCTTGTAGAGAGCATGTTTTGATACTGCCTTTTTAAAGTTATATGCTTTCGATTAGTTCCTTGTTCAATTCAAGGTTATAGTTACTGTCATCTTGTACGTAGCAGGACTGTACAGGTTTTTAGATGTGTACTTTACTACTACAAAAATGGTCTTGATTGATAAAAAGGACGGTTTGTTTACATATAAAAATAGTTCAACCATGATAGCACATTTTGTCAGGCCATCTGGATCTTGGGTTGTTCGTTATATTTTTCTTTGTTTTGATGTCAATTTTATCAAAGAAGTTGGTTGTTGATCGTTGGTGTGGTCTGTTGTACTGTCTTATATTTTTGTGATTCTTGTTAATTTTTTTTTGTATTAAACGTAAGCGACAGTCTCAATCTTGGTTGTTGATCGTTTGTGTGGTATGTTGTACTGTCTTATATTTTGGTGACTCCTGTTATCTTTTTTTGTATTTAACGTAAGCGACAGTCTCAATCTTGTTGTAAGGTGCGAGTCGGAGTTATGTGGCTAAAACCCTTCCAGAAACAGTACAATACGTAAGCGACAATCTCAATCTTGGTGTAAGGTGCGAGTTGGAGTTATGTGGATAAAACCCTTCCAGAAACAGTAAAATATTAAACATCTATCATAGCACTCATACAATAACAGTTATGACTACTTCAATACATATAGAAAAGTACACTGTAAGTTACATATGAAATAAAAGTGATGTAGGTTATACGTGAATGAGACAGTGCCCAACGACACAAGCCACAACATTTCAGTCAATTTAATAATAGGCAGGTGTCTATACATTGTGTTTTGCTCTGAATTAGCCCAAGTCTATAAAACAATGTCTATAAATTTCAACAGGGACTATATAACAGTCTACCATCCACATTAATTATGTGTATATACCCATTTATATTTTCATTATGTAAATTAATTAAATATGAGTATTCCGATGTTAAAAAACACAGAAGATACCAAGGGGACAAACAAATAACTAGTCAAAGAAAACCAGACAGCACAATCGCAAAAATGAAAACGACCAATTACATTCTACAAAGCACAAAAAAAAAAACAAAACAAAAGTAATCCCAGGTGTTCCGGAAGGGTCAGAAGATTCCATCCAATAAGTGATATCTACCATGTTACTCTTGTTAAAATAATATATCAGTCATATCAGGTGATATGTGTAAATAGAAATAAGGAGATTTGGTATGATATCCAATGAGACAACTGTCCACCGAAGTTCAAATGAAGTGGATTTAAGCAATAATTATTACAGACAACCATACGGCCTTCAACAATGATAAAACGTATAGTTGGCTATAAAAGCTCCGACATGAAAAATATAAAAACAGTTCAATTGAGAAAACTAACGGCCTTATTTATAACAAAACAATTTACGAAAAACAAATATGACAGACAGGAACCAACGACAACTACTGAACTACAGGCGCCTGACTTGGGACAGGCACATCAAGAATGTGGCGGGGTTAAACTTGTTTGTGAGTGCTCAACCCTCCTCTAACCTGGGACAGTGATGCAAAAGCACAACACAAGAACAAACTATAAACATCAGTTGAAAAAGGCTTAACTCATCAGATCGATACAAAGAATAACATCAAACAAAAACACAGACAAGACGTGGCAGGGTATATATCCATCCCTCATCCCTGACAAAAAAAAATACAATAAGTACAGATCTGAGAGTACTCGCAGTTACTGACAGCTAGTCAATATCAACTAATAAAAAAAAATCATGACGTTTAAAAAAAATTCAAGACGTTTAAAAATACCACTTGAGTTTATTGTCTAAATATAGATAAGCTCGTGTTACTGCGCATTCCAAGACTCGATGCTTCGATAAGATTAAAGAGGGTGACACCGGGTGCTTATTCCCCAAATTCCGAATTTTTGTTATTTTTTTCCAACTTCCCCATTTTTTCTCCTCCTTTTTCCCAGATTCTACTTTTTTACCCTTTATATCCCACATCCCAAGTTTGTTTTTTACGCCCAAAATCCCACGTTCCTACATTTGTAATTCCCTATATCCCACATCCCAAAAGCTAGTCAACCCCTCATCGATCGAGTCGCATTTTCGTAATTGATTTACAGATTTCTATAAACACCAAATTATAATTTTCAATCAATAACTGACAATTCATTATAAACCCGAATAATTTAGACGTTATATTCCTCTGTTTTACGATCGCTGCATTAACGAGTTGGAGAAAATCGGAAATTGAGAGGGATTGAATTATTATTACTCTCGCAAACAAAGTTTGTTGGGGTAAATAGGACTCACCATTTCGGTCTGTTTGTACCATAAAACGTATGTTCACCAAACTTGGTATGTGGTTGCATCATAATCTGGTGTGTGTCATATACCAAAAGCAGGTCACTCTGACCTTTGACCCCTATAATAGTAAAACCATGGCGGTTCGTTGCCAGCTCATGTTTTTGTAGCGTATAACTTAGGTTAAGCAAATTTGGTATGCAGTTGCATCATGGGCTTGGGTGTGTCATATACCAAAATCAGGTTACTCTGACTTTTGACCCCCATGATACTAAAACCTCGTCTGACATGTGCCCTGCGCATACCTTGCTTACTATATAACTTAGGTTGACCAAACTTAGTATGCTGATACATCATGTGATGGGGATGTGTCATATATCAACTAGGTCACTCTGACCTGGAATTTGACCTTTGGCCCCTATGATAGTAAAAACATTGTTTGATTTGTGGTTTGGGGCATAAATTTTGTACTGTAGCACTTAGATTGACAAAATTGTACGCAGAAGCATCATACTGACCTTGACCTTGACCTTTAATTTCGGAATTTACAGTTTACAAACCTCAGACTTTGTTCCTAGGTCAGTATATTTCCTTTAGATTGACCTATCAGTTACCATTTGCCAATCTAACACAAAGGTAATGAAAATGATTAGCTAAAAACCCAGAATCGCAAAATGTTATCATATCAATACTGACTTTCCCATCAGCAACTAAAATGTATATACGGGGTATTAGTCCCACTATTCGGACAGCTCTAGTTCGAGTTAACAATTAATTAAAACTCGTTCTATCTTTTAATGAGAACGGATAACCATATGCAGCATGATCTATTTAATTTTACCTTCATTAATGCAATAAACTTTCACTGGTAGTTATACACGAGGTGGGTGTATCAGCGAAATAATTGAGGGACTGGATAGGGTTTCTTAAATTTTGTATGCCATTTTCTCTATTTATTGTTGTTTCCCGTTATTTTCTATTCTTTATCACTTTGGCCTAATTTTCTCTATTCTCTTTTTTTTTGCTCATGATTATTCTGTAACTCCCATCTAGATCCACATTAATTGTATCATCTACAGTTGCATTGGAATTTGTAAGACATAATAATTCGTGTGATGCTATCATTGGTTTTCATTTTGGTTTCTGTGTTATGTGTTGTCAGTACATGAAATGATATTTGAAGAAATTTAAAAAAGGGAAATTTGAACTAGACACCCACAGGAACCTGCATAACTCACCTTGCAAACATATGCAACAAATCAATCAAATCAAATCAAATCAAATATTGTATTATTCCAATCATTGTTCCACAGGGGGCATTTACAATTAACAATTATGATGATATAAGCAACAAACATGAGACATTGTACAGTATATAACGTGACAGATATTATAATAGACAATGAAAATAGCACTTATAACAAAAATCCATTAAAAGTATTCTTGAGTATTAACATCATTGAAAACAGTGACAATTATCTTTTATACACTAAAGTCACATTCAGATAAAGATGCAAAATATTCTGTAAAAAATTTAGAGATTAACCTAAAAAAAAGAACCGAATTATGATTTTCATTCTTCTTATTATTTTTGCTGCTTTTACGCTCTTTCTATCTGTTTTAAAAGGGTTTAAAGATCACGGGGAAAAAAAACACGACTTTTTTCTTATAAATTTCCCTTAAATGACTATTTAATCATTTTTGTTGACCTATTTATTATTTTTAGATCTTATCTGATAATTTTACTGTTTGCATATTCCCTCTATCAACTATAGCTTCGCAAAAAAGAAGAACAATGCAATGGATAATATTCGTCATTGAAGGGCCATAACTTCTATAAGTAGTAGAATTCGGATTTCTGAAACATCAGCCAATACAATTATTTGTAGATATTGTCTTGTTGATTATTTTAACTGTTTACATTTTTTTGTTTTAAAGTGTATCTCTATCTGATAGTATAATAACTGTTTTCAAGATAATAAAAACTTGGAAATTTCCTAAAATGAAAATTGCAGGAACAAAAAAAACAAAATGGATTGTCTAATTAAAAAAATCAAGTTTGATAAAAATTTACTTGATGATTATTTTGAAACGCTGTCCATTTTGCTTTTACTGCTTTAGTTTTTGATATATAAAGCAAAACTGAGTCTTTTTTTTTACATTAACAGCGGTAATATTTGCAGATAGAGGAACATAGTCGACACAATTTAATAAGAATCTACCACAATAAACGTGATCAATAGGTATACGAGGATGTGGTATGAGTGTCAATGAGACAACTCTCCATCCAAGTCACAATATGTAGTTTGGTTCCAATTCAGCAGTTTCAGTGAATAAGATCTTGTTATAAATATTATTACGAATACGACGGACGCTTAAATAATGGCAATATAGCCCATACCACATCTCCTTATACATGTACTTATAATGACTTTGTCAAATTGAGCGAAGCTACTATCCAGGAAAGATTAAGTGTTGCTTGTTTAACGTCAATTGACAAATATCCCATTATTTAGGACGAGAACAAATAAACAAT